TTTATTCACAAACCTGCTCTTGGGCATTTGGGTTGTTTCCATTTTTGGCTATTACAATAAAGCTCCTACAAACACTGTACAGGTTTTTGTATTAATACATACTTTCATTTCTCTTAATGCACTGGAATAGAATGGGTGGATCATATAGTAGGGGTATGTTTGATTTTGTTTTCTTTTTGTGTGTGAAAAATGTAGTGATGTTACTAATTTGTTATAAGTCATGTTTCTACTATATCACAAAAAAGAAATATCACATCTGCAAAAAAGTAAAAATCCTACTGAATAAATCATTATGTCAACCAAATACCACATTTTTAAATTACTTTTTAAATTTTTGTTTGTTTTTTAATCCTCACCTAAGGATATATTTTTATTGATTTTTTTTTTTTTTGGAGAGGGAAAGGGAGGTAGGGGGAAAGAAACATTGATCCCCTGCCTCCTGCACACCCTCTACTGGGGATTGAGCCCGCAATTCAGGCATGTGCCCTGATTAGGAGTTGAACAGGGACCTCTCATTCCATGGGCTGATTCTCAATCCACTGAGCCATACTGGCCAGGCTGTATGAATGTTTTATATATTTTGGAAATTAACCCCTTACCTGATGTATCATTGGCAGATATGTTCTCCCATACAGTGGGTTCCCTTTGCATTTTAAGGATGGTTTGTTTTGCTGTGCAGAAGCTTTTTAGTTTGATATAGTCCCATTTGTTTATTTTTTCTTTTGTTTCTCTTGCCCTAGGAAATATACCTGTGAAAATTCTATGTGAGATGTCTAAGATATTGCTACCTATGTTTTCTTCTAAGATCTTTTATGGTTTTGCCTCTTACAATTAAAGTCTTTTATCTGTTTCGAATTTATTCTTGTGTATGGTGTAAGTTGGTTGTCTAGTTTCATTTTTTTGCATGTACCTGTTCAATTTTCTCAACACCATTTATGGAAGAGACTGTTTTTACTCCATTTTATTCTCTTGCCTTCTTTTTCAAATATTAATTGAGCATATTGCCTTGGGTCGCTTTCTGGGTTCTCTGTTCCATTGATCTATATGCCTGTTCTTGTGCCAGTACCAAGCTGTTTTGATTACAATAGCTTTGTAGTATAATTTAACATCCAGTATTATCTTTCCAACTTTGTTCTTCTTTCTCAAGATTTGCTGCAGCTATTCTGGGTCTTTTGGGTTCCATATAAATTTTTGCAGCATTTGTTCTAGATCTGTGAAATATGCCATTAGTATTTTAAAAGGGATTGCATTGAATCTATAGATTGCTTTGAGTGGTATGGACATTTTAATGATGTTAATTCTTCCAATCCATGAACATGGGATATGCTTCCACTTGTTTGCATGTTTCTCTGTTTATTTTTTTAGTGTCCTATAGTTTTCCGAGTACAGGTCTTTTACCTCCTTGGTTAAGTTTATTCCTAGGTATCTTAATTTTGTTGTTGCAATGGTCAAAGGGATTGATTTTTTTAGATTCTCTTTCAGAGACATCATTATTGGTGTATAAAATGTTATCAATTTCTAGATATTAATTTTGCATCCTGCTACTTTATGCAAGGCAGATTTCGATGTAGTTCTTTGGATGACATTGAAAAAACACATTGCCTAACTAAAAGTATTCATTGACACTTTACAATTTTTTTCACTTTGGAAAGCGTTGTGTCTCTTTAAATTGTGTTTGTATGCTACCATTTGGTTTATTACTTCAGACTCTTTAAGGCTTATTTTCATTCTTCAGCATTGGATCCTGCCACATGGTTAGTGATCTCACATGTGCTGTCTTGCTTTGCATATCCAGGTCGTATATCGGTTAGCTCTCCAGTGACTTTGGTAGAGCTCTGATGATTTTTTGTTTTCTATTTACATAAACAAAAAACCTTAACATGATTGAAGGAATAATGATTTAAATTAATGCATGTTGCCCTGGTCGGTTTGGCTCATCTGTTAGAGCGTCGGCCTGCGGTCCAGAGAGGCCCAGGTTCGGTTTTTACTAAGGGCGTGTACCTCCGTTGCAGTTTTTCCTTGCTCTGGTTGGGTCGTGTGGGTGGCAACCACTCGATGTGTTCCTTTCACGTCGATGTTTCTCTCTCTTTCTCTCTTCCTCTCTTCCTCTCTCCCCTTCCCACTCTTCTGAACAACAACAACAAAAAATATATATATGGGAATGACAAGATGACATATCAACTTCTGGGGTGCAGTGAAAGCAATAATAGGAAGGAAGTTTATGTCATTATAGGCCTACCTCAAGAAACAGGAGAAATCACGCCTGGCTGGTGTGGCTCAGTTGATTGCATGTCCTTCCAGGCACCAAGAGGTCACCAGTTTGATTCCTATTAGGGCACATGCCTGGATTGCTTTGTGGGCTTAATCCCCGGTGTGGGGGTGGGGTGCCAGAGGCAGCCAATCAGTGTTTCTCTCTCATCAGTGTTTTTATCTCTCTCTCCCTTCTCTCTAAAATCAATAAAAACATCTTTTATAAAAGAGAAAAATCCTGCCCGTCCGGTGTGGCTCAGTGGTTGAGCATGGACCCATGCACCAAGAGGTCCCTGGTTCGATTCTCGGTTGGGGCACATGCACAGGTTGTGGGCTTCATCCCTGGTAGGAGGGGTGCAAGAGGCAGCCAATTGATGTTTCTCTCTCTCCCCCTCTCCCTTCCTCTCTTTCTAAAAAAAATCAATAAATATATATATTTTAGAAGCATGACTTAAATTATCTTTGAGATTACTAGTTGAATAATGTATTGGGTTTTTTATTGGGAGGGGTTAAAGGTTATGAGGTGAAGTTATATTTAAATTATTTTTAAAAGACTGTATCTAGTTTTATAATTTTTTAACCAAATTTTAGAGGCTCTCTTAAGTACTTTTGCTAAATCATAAACTTGAAGTCAATTTTTTGCTTGTGAAACACCAATATAAAATAATACTCTTGTTCATGTCATGGGCAAAGTTCTGGAAATTAGTTTATCTGCCATAGTATATCTAGGAGGTTGCATGAGAAATCCAAGTAGTATGTATATGCATTTGGTTTTATTCTGTAGTGTTGGAAGAGGGCGAATTTTTAAAATGTAGTTATATTTCTTAGGTTTGTACAATATGAAAGTTTCTATTTGTATTTAATATTTTCCATGAATATGTTGATTTCTAGTGCTTCTTATTTAGGATATTGAAATATGTTTTGTGTAAACAACTTGAATAAGTAATCAGAAAGAAGAATTTTAATGTTTTGCTTGCCCAACATTGTCTAATTCCAACTTGATTTGGAATAAGAATTACTTACCCTGGATTTAGTAAGCTGACTTATTGCTTTCCTAGATTCCTAAATTTGAACCTTTTAGCTGCCATTCCATAATTAAAACCTCTTTTCATCCTAAGGTTTTTAGAGAAACGACCTGTTTTTATGCTTAAAAAGAAAGCACAGGTTTTTCTAAAATATTTTTAGTGTTTCCTTCTTGGTAGTAATGAAAATGCAGCATGTATTACATTTATTCCTTTATAAAAACTAGTTACCATTTTTTAAGGCTTGATGCTGATTTGGTTTGTGAAAATATGGAAATTTAGTTTTTTATCTCAATTTTTTGTTACACTATTAATACTGATAAACCTAACCTTTAACCATAAACAATAGACTCATAAGTTACATAATTTTAACTATTTCTTAGTTAATGTGTTTTTTGTTAATGTTGGTCTTTATGTTTTTGGGTGTTTTTTTTTTAATCTTTTGCCATTTTTTTTTTTTTTTTCCTTTATTGATTTTAGAGAGAGAGGAAAGGAGCAGGAGAGACAGAAACATCGATGAAAGAGAACATCGATTGGGTGCCTCTTGCATGCCCTTCACTGGGGTTTGGGCCTACAATCTGGGTATGTGCTCTGACCAGGAATCGAACCGGATACCTCTTGGTGCATGGGTTGACGCTCAGCCACTGAGCCACACCAGCTGGACAACTTTTGGCATTTTAGATTTGTATTATAATTGCTTGGAAACCATGTTTTAGTATCTTTTTATAAGGCTTATAAGTTGCTGAACTCACTATTTTCCCAAACTGCGACTTTAGCGGCACACTGAAAAAACATATGAAGAGATTTTTTTCCCCCTCTAGGTTCATATGAACAAGAATGTCCACTCTTTTCTTTGTGTGGTATGAGTGGAGAGGTACTGTTTCTTACTATTTTCCCACAAGGTCTGTAGCTCAGTTTGTGGGAAAGTATACAACAGTGATTTCTCTGCACTTGAAATAATACCTTTCAAAAAGTAGGGTAGGAAAAAATCTGGATCTTGAGACTTCACTGGTTTCTGTTAAAAAGCAGTTATTTTCATTGGCCTTCATTTTAAACCCAGAGCAAGGACCAGACAACACTATAAGATGATTTTCTCAAAGGGGAGAAGCAGCTTGATTTTTTTTTTTTTTTTTTTTAAGAAAAATTCTTTAGAGTTGAGAGAGATGAGTCTAAATTTCAGGTCTTTTAAGGTTTTGATATTGGACACTTTTATACTTAATTTCACTCTTCTGTAGCGAGAATGTTGTCTCCAGTGTGCATGCTTTCTATTTGTACTGTATCTGAAATGGACAAGTTTGATAAGCTCTTAAAAGCTGGACATTTAGCCTTGGCCAGTTTTGCTCAGTGGTTAGAGCGTCGGCCCCCAAACCAAAGAGTCCTGGGTTCGATTCTGGCCAGGGCAAGTGCCTTGGTTCTGGTTCGTCCCTGGCCCTGGGCAGGGTCATGTGGGAGGCGACCGGTCGATGTGTCTCCCTCTCTCCCCCTCCCTCCCCTCCACTCTATCTAAAGATAAATGAAAAATAATATATCCTTTGGTTAGGATTAAAATAATAATAATAATTTAAAAAGCTGGACATTTATTATCTCTTTTCTCGGAGGAACACTTTGAAGACCTTCAAAATTTAAAACATGTTTAATATACATGAACAGCTAATCTAATAGAATGATAAATATTAATTACAGTTAAAAAGCTGAATTTCATTTTATTTCTTTTTGCTGTTAATATAGACACAGCCAAAAGAGGAGGACCAGAAACCATTAACTTCATCAAATCCAGTATTAGAACTTAAACTGGCAAAGGAAAAGTTACACATGACTCTTTCTGGGCAAGAGGTAAGTTTATATAGAGTGTTTTGTGAAAAAGAGAAAACTCTCCACAGCATTTCCATTTATCTCTAGTTCTATCCAGTAGTTTTATGTCATTATTTTCCACATAAGATGACTTACTGAACTTAGTTACTGTGCAGCTAGCCAGTTTCCATCAGGAAGTTCTCAATTGTCTGTTTTTTTCTGAGACTGTTACCATAAACTTTTAAAGTATGTATCATTCTAAACTTTAAAAACAAAACACATTTTAAATATATATATATACATACACACTAAATAATTATATGTCTAAATTATTATAAATAATGTACTATTTTATAACTTATTTTCTCTTGCTATATCTTTTTATTTATCCTCAGCTGAGGACATTTTTTCTTTTTTTGTTCAGATAGAGTGGGAGGGAGGGAGAGAAAGAGAGAGAGAAACATCAATGTGAAAGGGACACATCAAGTGGTTGTCACCCACACATCCCAACCAGGGCCAGGGGCAAACTGCAACTGAGGTACATGCCCTTAGTGGGAACCGAACCCGGGTCTCTCTGGACTGCAGGCCAATGCTCTAACCAGGGCGCTACATCTTTATGTATATATGTATATATGTATATATGTGTGTGTATATATATATATATATATATATATATACACACACACACACACATATATAATTTTTGTAACTGTAATTTCCATAATATTTTAAAATCCAATTCTTTAGACTTCCGGTCAAGATGGCGGTGTAGAGAAATGCGGTATCGTGTCCTCTCACAACCACATCAAAGTTATAACTAAACTACAGAACAACTATCATTCAAAACCGCCTGAAAGCAAGCTGAATGGAAGTCCTGCAACTACGGAATTAAAGCAGCCGCCACATCCAGACTGGTAGGAGGGGCAGAGGCAGACGGGCTGGTCCCACACCCATTTGTGGCGGATAAAAATCAGGAGGATACCTTTGCTGGGAAGGTCCTCCCTGAGGACTGAGGGGTCCCCGACCCACACCAGGCACCCCGCTCAGGGTTCCAGTGCCAGGAAGAGAAGTCCCCATAACTTCTGGCTGGAAAAACCAGCAGGAACTGAGGCTCAGGGAAGCTGACGCGGCTGGAGCCCCAGGCAGCTCCTTAAAGGGCCCGCGCATGGACTTATTGGACTTTCTCCCTCTAAGCTTGGAGGGGAGGCAGCTCGAAAGGCACCAGAGACATACAGGGAAGAACTGAACTGTTTGGCACTGGAGGGAGGGCTGGAGAGGAGCCTTTCTCCGGGACAGACGTGCTGTCAGAGGCCTTTGTTCCTTTGGTGAGCCCTTCGCTGGGGCAGCAGACAGCCGCCATATCCGGGACTCCCGCAGACTGGCTCACACTGGTAGCCCTGCCCTGGTGACTACCTGAGGCCCCACCCCGCCCAACTTTCAGGCCCACCCAAGCTGTTGCCACTTGCTTAACCATAGTATTGGCCTGTCTTGGATCCTGCTTCGGGTTTTTCCTAAATTCTTTCAAACGAGCAGCATCTGGTCTCAGCTAGCCTCATACCTCTCGTTAAGTAATACACAGAAACAAACACAGGGAGGCAGCCAAAATGAGGAGACAAAGAAACAGGTCCCAAATGAAAGAACAGAAAAAAACCCCAAGAAAAGAACTAAGCGAAATGGAGATAAGCAACCTAATAGGTGCTGAGTTCAAAATACTGCTTATAAGGATGCTCAATGAACCTACTGAGAACCTCAGTGAACTTAGTGAGGGCCTCAGGAGCATAAAAAAGGACCAGTCAGAAATGAAGGAGGCATTAACTGAAATAAAGAATAATTTACACAGATTCAATAGTAGAGAAGATAGAGCCAAGAAGCAAACCATCGATTTGGACTATAAGGAGCAAAAAACGCCCAATGAGAACAGCAAAAAGATAAAAGAATCCAAAAAAATGAGGATAGTGTAAGGAGCCTCTGGGACGACTTCAAGCATGCCAACATTCACATCTTGGGGATGCCAGAAGGAGAAGAACGAGAATAAGAAATCGAAAACCTATTTGAAACAATAATGACAGAAAACTTCCCTAACTTGGTGAAGGAAACAGACATACAGGTCCAGGAAGCACAGAGTCTCCCAAATACGATGAACCCCAAGAGGCCCATACTAAGACACATCATCATCAAAATGCAAAAGGTTCAAGACAAAGAGACCATCTTAAAAGCAGCAAGACAAAGGCAGCTAGTTACCTACAAGGGAGTTCCCATAAGGCTGTTAGCTGATTTTCAAAAGAAACCTTGCAGGGCAGAAGGGAGTGGCAAGAAATATTCAGAGTGATGATAAGCAAGAACCTACAACCAAGATTACTCTAACCTGCAAAGCTGTCATTTAGAATTGATGGCCATATAGTTCCCCAGACATGAAAAAGTTAAAGGAGTTCATCACCACCAAACCATTATTATATGAAATGATGAAGGGTCTTTTTGAAGAAAAAGATAAAGTATATGAACAGACAAATGGCAATGAATACGTATCTATCAACAATGAAATCTACAAACAAAATGAACAGGTAGATCAGAAACATTCTTATACGTAGATACAGAGAACATTTTGTTCGTTGCCAGATGGGAGGAGGTTGGGAGAATGGGTGAGAAAGGTGAAAGGATTAAGAACAAATTTATTGCTAGACTGACAAACCTCAAAGGGAAGGGGGTTGGGGGGTAGGAAGAAATAAACCAAAGAACTTATGTGCATAACCAATGGACACTGACAATAGTGTGGGAAAAGGTGGGAGTGGGGAGGAGGGGGTCGATGGGGGAAAAATGAGGAACATCTGTAATACATTCTACATTCAACAATAAAGATTAAAAAAAAAATTCTTTATTAATGGTGATATAGATTGCTTCAGCATTTCTCTATTTTAAATCATACTAAGAGGAACATCCTTCAGTAGATGTCATGGCATGCATAATTTAGATTTTTTTTTTTTGTGGAAAACATTCCAGAAGTGTGTTTTCTGCAGTGTATGTAGGTACCAAAGAGTAAAATCTAGTACATTTCTAAGACTTTTGAGACATATTAAGAGAGGACCAGTTATACCAGTTTATTTTTTCACCTGTAGTGTATGCCCATACCTTGGTCCATATCAACTATTGTTTTCTTTAGCAAAAAAATGTTTAAAGATATTCATGTGATATGAAGTATTCAAACTATTCAGAAGGTACACCACCAAAATTAACTTTGAACAAAAGGAAACTTTCAGAGGAAAGAATGGCTGACTCTGGAAGCTGTCCTGCGAAAATTAGAGGAAGGAATTTTGACTAGCCTTAAAAGAGGAATGTATTTATTTTATTATTATTATTTTTTAGAGTGTGAGGAAGGGTGAGAGAGAAAGAGAAACATTGATGTGAGAGAGACACGTTGCCTCCCTCACACACCCCAACTGGGGATTGAACCTGCAATCCAGATTCGTGTCCTGACCAGAAATCAAATCCACAGCCTTCCAGTCCACAAGACCATGCTCCAACCAACTGAGCCACACTGGCCAGGACAGAGGGGAATATTTTTTTGAAAAATCCATTGACAGCAGCACTGATTTTGAAAAATTATTGAGTGTTCTTGGGTTTAATAAAGTAGAGCTAAGATAATTGGGTACAAGTTTAAAGGATTTTAGTTTATTTATTTATTTATTTTTTTATTTTTTATTTTTTATCCTCACCCGAGGATATTTTTCCATTTTTTGTACAGATAGAGTGGGAGGGAGAGAGAGGAAGGGAGAGAGAGAGAGAAACATCGACGTGAAGGGACACATCGAGTGGCTGCCACCCGCACGACCAACCAGGGCCAGGGACAAACTGCAACCGAAGTACGTGCCCTTAGCGGGAACCGAACCCAGGTCTCTCCGGACCGCAGGTCGACGCTCTAACCGCTGAGCCAAACCGGCCAGGGCGGATTTTAGTTTATTTTGATAAGCAAAATGTATCCAAAAATGAGGCGGGCACTTTCATGAAGAGATGTGATTCCTTTTATTTGTCAGAGACCTGACACAGGTGTTTTTGAGGTCATTTCTGCATTGATTAGAGAAAGCAATGGATGACCTCTCAAGTTTCTTTGTAATACCAAGCTTCAGTTAATCCATAGGGAGCCCTACCAGTGGTTTCTAAGTGTGTCCCCAGGTAAAGTTCTTGGTATTTTTTAAAAATTTGGATCAAACTTTATTAATTATAATTTTTGTTTCTTCTTTTTATGAAATATAGCATGTATATAAAGAGTGTATAGCCTGCCCTGGCCAGTTTGGCTCAAAGGTTAGCGTATTGGCCTGCAGACCAGGGTGTCCCGGGTTCGGTTCCCACTAAGGGCAAATGCCTCAGTTGCAGTTTGTCCCTGCCCCGTTTGGGGTCATGTGGGTGGCAACTAGTTGATGTGTGTCTCTCACATCGATGGTTCTCTCTTTCTCTCCCTCCTGCTCTATCTGAAAATAAATGCAAAAATGTCCTCAGGTGAGGATTACAAAAAAAAGTGTATATCCCCGGCTGGTTTGGCTCAGCAGTTAGAGCGTCAGCCCAAGGGTCTAGGTTCAATTACTGGTCATGTGCCTGGTCTGCAGGTTTGATCCCCAGCTCCAATCAAGGTCATGCGGGAGGCAACTAGTTGATGTGTCTCTCTCACATTTATGTTTCTCTCTCTTCCCCACCTCCCTTCCATTCTTAAAAATCAATGGAAAAATATCCTCGGATGAGGATTAAGAACAACAACAACAAAAGAGTATATAAAACACGTTTAATATAATGGATAATTATAAAACAAACACCTATATAACCATCACCCAAGTCAAGAAATAGAGCAGTATTATCAGCCTGTCAAAAACCCTGTATGTGCCCCATACGGAAATACTCATTCTCTTCTGAGGGACAGGTATCTGGTTTAAATGTAGTATTGCAGTGCTGACTTGGCTATGGTATTATCAGCTGACTCCAAACCTCTTCTCTATGTTAATATTACCACTTGCTCCCACCTTAATGTTTTTCTTATGTACTCTACTACACAGATTGGTACTTTCCTGAAACAATTAGTCAAGGGACTTAAACCGTTAGGACTCTTTAAGGTCTGACAATAACTCAGTATATTTGTTCATGGAAAATTAAAGAAAAAAACAACACAATTCTTTGCATCAGCATTTCAAAATAAGCGTTTCATCACCTAAAATAGGAATTACCATTACTAATAACATAAGGAATTATTACTATCTTTTGATTTTTTTTTTTCATTTGGCTTTTGTTTCTGTGTTTCACCATTTTGGCTATCACAGTGGGCTTTGGAGCCTGCCAAATTTTCCCTTTGGGTGTTGGTGTTCTGCTGTGTGTGGCTCCCTCTCCTGGGTTTGGATGAGCCAGGGAGGACACACCTTAAACACCACTGTCAAGTCTTACTTTCCTGGTTAGAGTTGCTAGCCCAGGAATAGTACAGTTATCCTCTAGCTTTTTGCCTGGAGGCTCTCAGTAGTGGTTACCTGAAGAGTTTTGGGTTGTCAGTTGAATGAAAAACTCCCTCAGGTGCTCAGCTTAAGAGAATTTCCCAAGGGTGGGGCAGATGCTGGTTGTTAGTAAGACTCAATTTGCATTTCAATGGCCCACCTGGGTGGGGTTGAATCTCTGAGGGAGGGGCCGCTGCCTCTCCCCAGAGCCCTGGGAAGGAGCAAGATGACCACTGTCCTGTGTGGCCACAACTCAGCAAAAGCTCTGAGCGCCCTCTTAATCCCAAGTGTCCCTACGCAGTTCCAGTCCAGTCTGCCCTCCCTCTGCCAGAGCCCAAGGTGAGTGGCTGTGGCTATTTTAGCCTCTCTCCTGGCTTTGCGCTATGGAGGCACTTGGGAGTTTAACCCAAGGGCACTGCTCACAGCTAAGGCTGCTGCCGACCTTGGGCTCCCAGCCCCCCCTCTCGCATATCTGCAAGCCTACCAGGATTGAGTCAGTGTCCCTGGTTATGTGGTCTTCCATGCTGCTTTTCTGTTGCTTTTTTCTGATGATTTGTCTTTATTTTCTATGTAATTCCAGTTTGGTCCTGGGAGATGGTCTGTGTAGCTTCCATTCACTCTGCCACCATTTTGTAATCTGATTTTTTTAATAGGTTATCAAAAGATTGAGAAAGAGGAAAACCAATCAGACTATTTGAAAAACTGATTGTGATGTTTTTCAACTTTTAAGAACAATAGAGTTCCTCACACCTGTACTTAACAAGGTAATAAGTCATAACAAAGCTAGAAGAATATCACTGTGCCACATAAACTAGAACACTATGGAGTTTGACAGCATTTGACCCATTGCATTATTGTAGGCAAAAATGGGAAAAGTTGCCTATTACTTCTGGTGAATGTGTTTTCTTTCATTTTAATTTTGATTCGTGTGTGTGTAAACCATTTGCTCCAAAACTATGAACATTCTTAAACACATTTTTTTTAAACCTGTTATTTCTCTGGATAAATACCTCGAAGTGCAATTGCTGAACAATAAGAGTAAATGTATGTTTAACTTTTTTTTTTTTTAATTTTATTTTTGTTACAGATGTTTCTCCTTTTTTACCCCATTGACACCCTCCTTCCCATCCCCTCCCCGTCCCGTCCCATCCCCAGCTTTGTTGTCCATGTCCATTGGTTATGCATACATGCATATAAATTCTGTGGTTTATCTCTTCCCTCCCCCGACCACCTTCTCTTCTGAGGATTGTCGGTCTGTACCCTACTTTCATGTTTCTGGGTCTACCCTATTCCTCAGACTGTTATGTTCATTATATTCCACAAATAAGTGAGATCATGTGGTATTTGTCTTTTTCTGCTTGACTTGTTTCACTTAGGATAATACTTTCCAGGTCCCTCCATGTCATCTCAAAGGATAAGAGATCTTTCTTTCTTGCTCCATTGTGTATATGTACCACAGCTTTTTTATCCATTCGTCTATTGATGGACACTTGGGCTATTTCCAAATCTTAGCTATTGTAAATAGTGCTGCTATGAACATGGAGATACATATATTCTTTCTGATTGATGTTTCAGGCTTTGTAGGGTATATTTCTAGAAGTTGGATCACTGGGTCAAATGGAAGTTCAATTTTTAATTTTTTGAGGTAACACCATATTGTTTTTCATGGTGGCTGCACCAGTCTGCATTCCCACCAGCAGTGTACTAGAGTCCCCTTTTCTCCACACCCTCGCCAACACTTGTTATTTGATGATTTGTTGATGGCGGCCATTCTGACAGGTGTGAGGTGATACCTCGTTTTAATTTGCATCTCTCTGATGATAGTGATGTTGAGCATTTCTTCATATGTCTCTTGGCCATTTGTATGTTCTGTTTGGAGAGGTGTCTGTTCAGCTCCTCTGCCTATTTCTTAATTGGGTTCTATGTGTTCTTTTTGTTGAGTTGTATGTACTCTATATGTTTTGGAAATTAACCCCTTATCTGATGTATCATTGGCAATGATGTTCTCCCATACAGTGGGTAGCCTTTCCATTTTGATGATTGTATCCTTTGCTGTGCAGAAGATTTTTAGTTTGATGTAGTCCCATGTGTTCAGTTTTTCCTTTGTTTCTGTTGCCTTAGGTGATGTATCAGTGAAAATTCTGCTCCATATGATGTCCGAAATTTTGTTGCCTACATTTTCTTCTAGAATTTTTATGGATTCACGGGTCACATTTAAGTCTTTGATTCATTTTGAGTTTATTTTTGTGTATAGTGTAAGTTGATGGTCTAGTTTTATTTTTCTGCATGTAGCTGTCCAATTTTCCCAACACCATTTATTAAAGAGGCTGTCTTTACTCCACTGTATGCTCTTGCCACCTTTGTCAAATATTAATTGAGCATATTGCCTTGGGTCCATTTCTGGGTTCTCTGTTCTGTTCAACTGGTCTATATGCCTGATCTTGTGCCAGTACCAGGCTGTTTTGATTATAGTCACTTTGTAGTATAACCTGAAATCTGGTATTGTGATCCCACCTACTTTGTCCTTTTTTTTCAAGATTGCTGTGGCTATTCGAGGTCTTTTTTGGTTCCATATGAACTTTTGAAGTATTTGTTCTAGTTATGTGAAATGTGTTGTTGGTATTTTGATGGGGATTGCATTGAATCTATAGATTGCTTTGGATTTTATGGACATTTTAATGATGTTAATTCTTCTAATCCCTGAACAAGGTATGCACTTCCACTTTTTTATATCTTCCTCTATTTCTTTCTTCAATGACCGGAGTTTTCTGCGAATAGGTCCTTGACTTCTTTGGTTAAGTTTATTCCTACGTATCCTATTTTTTTTGCCGCGATGGTAAATGGGATTGTTTTTTTCAGTTTCTCTTTCTGTGAGTTCATCATTGGTGTATAAGAAGGCCGTATGTTTAACTTTTTAAGGAATGCCAAATATTTCCAAATTCTGTCAGCATTTTTATTAGTCTTTTAAAATTTTTTTTTTTAATTATCCTCACCCGAGTACATTTTTTTTTTTTTGCATTTATTTTCAGATAGAGCAGGAGGGAGAGAGGGCGGAAGAGAGATAGAAACACTGACCTGATGTGAGATAGAAACATCGATGTAAAAGAGACACATCATCTGGCTGACACCCACGTGACCCCAACTGGGGCCAAGGACAGACTGCAACCAAGGTACGTGCCCTTAGCCAGAACCGAACCCGGATCTCTCTGGACCACGGGCTGACACTTTAACCACTGAGCCAAACTGTCCAGGACAGTCTTTTAAATTTTAACCATTTTCTTATATATGTACTACTATCTCATTGTGGTTCTGTTCACATTTCCCTGATAACTAAAGATTATGAACATCTTTTCATGGACTTATTTGCTATTTCTTGCTCTGTGCATTGTGTATTAAAATCTTTTGTTCATGTTTTAATTGGGTTGTCTTTTAAATTTTGATGAAGTTTACTTTATTCCGTTTTTTTTCCTTAATCCTTACCCAAGGATATTTTTCCATTGATTTTTAGAGATAGTGGAAGGTGTGGAGAGAGAGGTGGAGAGAGAGAAACATTGATATGAGAGAGACACATTGATTAGTTGCCTTTCACACGTGCCCCATCCAGGGCCCCAGATTGAACCTGCAACCCAAGCACATATCCTTGACCAGGAATCAAGCCTGATACCCTCCAACCATGAGCAACACTGGCCAAGGCTATTTGATCAGTTTTTGGTTTTATGGTTTTTGCTTTTGGTGTTTTTCTTAAGAAATCTTCACCTATTCCAAGGTCTTGAAGACATATTCTTCTGTATTTTCTTCTAAAAGCTTAATAGTTTAGCTTTTACATTTAGGGCTCTGAGAATTGTTTTATGGCTCAGTGTATGGTCTATTTTGGTGAATATTCCATGGGCCCTTGAAAAGAGTATGTTTTATACTTTGGGTAAATGTCACAATATTGTTCAGATATTCTGTGGCCTTATTAACGTGTCTACTTGCTCTTTCACTTACTTAGAAGCAGGTGTGGTTATCTATGGCTATCTAACAAACCACCCAAAATTTAGTATCTTAAACAATGTATTATAAAATATTTTTTGGTCATGTATGAGACTGTACCAAACCATTCTGCAACCTGGTAACTTAAGATAATTTATTATTATATCTCTCATTATTTGTGATTTTATTGGGCTAACCTTGGCAGTTTTGGGCATGGGATCTTACATTTGGTTGTAGTCAGGTGAGGGCTGAAGTTGCAGTGAGGTTAGTGGCTAAGGTCATCTGAAGCTTCCATTGAACCAGCCTTCTAATTTAGCATAACACCTGAAAGATTCATCTGTGTTGTAGCATGTTAGAATTTCATTCTTTTTTAAGGCTGAGATATATTTCATTATATGTATTAACCCCATTTGGTTTATTCATCCTTGATGGGTGTTTGGGTTGTTTCTATCTTTTGGCTATTATGAATAAAGTTGCTATGAACATGGGTGTACAAATACCTGTTTTAGTCCCTCCTTTCACTTCTTTTGTGTGTATACCCAAACATTATTCTATGTTTAACTTTATTTTTCCCAAAGCATAAGTTTTTTAAATTTTTCTTTTTTTTTTTTTATTATAAATGTTAACAGTGATTTGTTTTTCTTACACCCTCTTTCTATCACCCTCTTAACCTAAATTCTTGGAAAGAGTGGTTTTTATTCTGCTTCATCTCACCAACATTTATTTCTCTTTTTCTTTAAAAATTTTTTCCAATTACAATTGATGTACATTATTATATTAGTTTCAGGTGTACACTCCAGTGATTAGATATTACATAACTCACTACATGATCATCTTGATAAATCTTGCACTTATCTGACACCATACCTAATATGAATATTAGAATATTATTGAGTATATTTCCTATGCTGTACTTTAAATCTCCATGACAACTTGTACTTTTTAATCTTTTCACCTTTTTCACCCTGCCCTCAAACCCTCTCCCACCTGGCAACTGTCAGAATGTTCTCTGTATTGCCCTGGCCAGGTGGCTCAGTTGGTTGGAGCACTGTCCTGTACACCAGAAGGTTGTGGGTTCGAGTCGCAATCAGGGCACATACCTAGGTTGCAGGTTCAATCTCCTATTGGAGCACATACGGTAGGCAACCAGTTGCTGTTTCTCTTTCACATCGGTGTTTCTCTCTCCTTCCCTCTCTCTCAAACCAATAAACATATCCTTGGGTAAAGATAAAAAAACATGTTCACTGTATCTATGAGTGTTTCTGTTCATCTTTTTTGTTTTTTAGATTCAATTGTTGACAGACATGTATTTATTGCCGTTTTGTTCATATTTTTTATCTTTTTTTCTTCTTAAAGAAGACCCTTTAACATTTCATATAATACTGGTTTGGTGGTGATGAACTCCTTTAGCTTTTTCTTGTCTGGGAAGTTCTTTATCTGTCTGGCCTTCGATTCTAAGTGATAGCTTTGCAGCAGAGTAGAGTAATCTTGGTTATAGGTCCTTGCTTTTCATCACTTTTACTGTTTCTTGCCAATCCTTTCTGGTCTACAAAGTTTCTGTTGAGAAATCAGCTGACAGTCTCATGGGAGCTCCCTTGTAGGTAACTAACAGTTTTTCTCTTGCTACTTTTAATATTCTCTTTGTCTTTACCCTTTGTTATTTTAATTATGATCTGTCTTAGTGTGGACATCTTTGGGTTCATCTTGCACTTCCTGAACTTGTATGTATGTCTATTTCCTTCACAAAATTAGGGAATTTTTCTGTCATTTTTTCAAATAGGTTTTCACTTTCTTGCTGTCTCTCTTCTCTTCTGGCACCCCCATGATGCAAATGTTGGTGTGCTTGAAGTTGTCCAGAGGTTCCTTATAGTATCCTCATTTATTTGGAGTCTTTTTTCTTTTTGCTGTTCTCATTGGGTATATTCTGCTTCCTTATCTTTCCAATCTCTGATTTGATCCTCTGCATCACCTACTCCACTGATGAGTCCCTGTAATGTATTCTTCATTTTAGTATGTGTATTCTTCATTTCTGATTGGTTCCTTTTTATGCTTTCTAGCTCTGCTTTTATGCTTTTATGTTGCACTTTGTTGAAGTTTTCACTGAGTTCATCTATTATTCCCCTAAGTTCATTTAGCATTGGTATAACCACTGTTTTAAACTCTGCATATAGTAGATTGTTTGTCTCCATCTTCTTTAGTTTTATTTCTGGAGTTTTGTTCTGTTCTTTCATTTGGGACATGTTTTTGGCAGTCTCCCTTTGTTTGTTTCTTGCAGGCTTGGTAGAGTGGCCTTATGTAGAGGGTGTTCTGTAGGGTCCAGTGGCACAGTCTCCTTGATCACCTGAGCTGGTCACTCAAGGTTCATCCCCATGTTGGGCTCTGTACACACTTCTCTGGTAGTTGAGCCTTGATAGCTGTTGGCACATCAGTGGAAGGGCTTTACCCCCAGGCCAATTACCTGCAAGGACTGGCCATGACCACCAACCTCCAACCACTGTGGAGGATCAGCTGTGCAAGGGCCTATCCCACAGAGCATGACCTCCTTCAGTGGGCCTCTGGTGCCCACTGTGTCCACCCCTTCAGTGTGTTGCTTATGGACATGGTTGGGTGCTGGTGCTTTGATGTGGTCTGAAGCTGTCCACTGGGTGCACTGGCTCTAGGGTCTCTGGGGAGGTACAAGCCAAGGTCAACTGCTGCCTTTGTTCTACTTGGGGCCACCCAGCATGAGCTATAAGGCTATTTCTTGTGTTGGGCTTGGAGATATTCAGGCAAGGCTTCTACTTGTGCTGGGCCTGGAGGTACCCAAGAGAGGCCAAGCTGTAAACCAAGTCCAGCTGCTGCTAGTGTCAGGCTTGGGGCCACTTAGTGAGAGGTATGGGGCTTGCCACTGAGACCAGATGCTGCTTGTTTGAGAGATTTCAGGAAAATCTGAAGCATGAACCAAGACAAACCATTCATATGGAAAAACCACTAGAAGCAGCTTGTATGGGCCTGAAAGTTGAGTGGAATAGGGCCTCAGGGAATCACCAGGGTGGGGTGAATGGTGTGAACAGGTTGATGGAGACTCAAATATGGTGCCTACCTGCTGGATCTGTGGAGGTAGGGTTCATCAAAGGAACAATGGCCTTTGCCAACACTTCTGTCTGGGAGAAAGCTGCCCTCCCCGCCCCAGCTCTCACCCTGATACTAGACTGTCTATGTGTTTCTGATGCCTTTCAAGCTGCTGCTGTAGCACTGGAGCTCAGAGGGAATGAGTCTTGAGTAAGTCCAAGTACACGGTCCCTTTAAGAATAAGTGCCTGGAACTACAGAAGCCCTCTGTCTCACTCAGCCTCAATCTCCACTGGTTTTTAAAACCAGAAGTTATGGAGACTACTCTTCCTGGCACTAGAACCCTGGTCTGGGTAACTTGGTATAGGGCTGGGACCCCTTGTTCCTCAGGGGGGACCTCCACAGCTGAGATATCCTACTTAATTTTTATCTGCCCCTCCTACTAGTCTGGATGTGGCTTATTCTTAATTCCCTGGTTGTAGACTTTCAGCCAGATTTCTGGCAGTTCTTAATGAAGGTTGTTCTGTAGTTTAATTGTAATTTTGATATGGTTTTGGCCATTTCTCTTCTATATCCTGAGTCATTTTTCTTATCAAAAGATAGAATATAATATTGCTGTGAACTATTAAATGTTTATCTCATTTAAGTTTTCTACTCATGTTTCATTACTTGAAAAGTCTTCTAGCTTTAATATTAATTTATTACAACCTGCTGTATTCTAATCTTGTTCAAGCCTTTGTCAGATAATACCAAATTTCCAATTTGTACATTTTTTAAAATTCAGGTATAATTGATGTATAACATTATATTAGTTTCAGGTGTACAATGTAATGATTCCATATTTGTATGTACAGTGATACCTCGGTTCTCGAATGCCTCGGTTTTCGACCAAATCGGGATTCGAGAAACTTTTGTCTCGGAATCCGAACAAATATTTGGAACTCGAACTTCCGAGATGAGCCGAGTTGAGCCGAATGGCGTTCATTCGGCCCAGCGCGCCTTGCTCGCGTCATCAGTGTGAGTGCAGAGAGAGAGTCACGCTTTGTGGAGTCACGCTTTC